AACTTTTAATCTCACATATTAAAAAAACATTCGTGCATTCAAAGGCTCGTCGGTCTCGATATATGAACTATCTAGTTTAGCACAGGTTAAATCAACAATCAAACCCTCCTTTGAAATTTGTGCCGTTACCTGTCGTGACGCGTTGGTACAAGTGATTATTAAGAAGAGTTCTTACTGTATATAACAAATATTATTCTATTATTATTAAATATTAACTAGTATATAATATAATTTTATTGAAAAATGCAGAACTCTTTCCACTAATTATCAAAATATAAAATTCTAAAAAACAAAATTAACAAAAAATCACAAGAAACACACAAAAGCTATTAGAAAACCAAACTTAAAGCTTTAAGAAAAGAGAAAAAAAACTACAAAAAATACTTAGTTTTTTAAAAAACTTAAATAAAAAAAGCAGTATTAGCAAAAAATAGAAGAAGTTGTAAAAAATCATTGATATTTTTTTGCTTTTTACAAATTTTTGGAAAATCAGTCTTAACTCTGAATCACAAATCTGTTTTGGTAATACAAAAATTATAACATGTAATGAAGTATAAACAAAAGAAACACAAAAAAACTATATAACAAAGATAAACAAAGTTGGTAAACAATTGAAACAAACAACAACAGCAATCAACAATAATGGAAAAACAACAAGTTAGGGTGGTTAAAGTGGTAACAGATATTATGTAATATTTTTAGAGAAGAGAAGTCAGCCAAAAGTCTTACATTATATTTAGTATTAGGCAAATTAGTGGTCAATCAAACATTTGCTAGTCAAATTGGTCTGGTCAAATTGGTCAATTGGTCAAACTGGTCCAATTAGTCAAGTCTATTATATAAATATAATATATATATTGTATTATACAGTATAATAAATTATATTTAAATATTCTATTTGACCAATTTGACCAGTACAAATCCTTTAATCAAACCGGTTAAATTGCTCAAATTGGTCTGGTCTAATGATCAAACTGGTCTGATTAAGCCAACACTGATTATTATTATTTTTTTTTTTTGGTATTAAGGTGATCTCTTGGCCGTATTATACTTTATTAAATTAGGATATCATATATATATTTGGAGAGTACATTTAGCCATACCTATATTTTTTGAGCACCTATTTAAATAGTCTGCCTATTTCTAGGTTCTACACTATTTGCCATACCTGCAACCTGACTAGGGGGTTACCTATTTAAACCCTCTGCATCTATATACTCTGAAGCTTATATTAATTAGTACTTTTTCTCTAGTTCTATGAACCAGTTCTTCTTGATACACATATACTAACTTAGGACTACTTTATTCTTGAGATAAACCTGGCAGAGCCTGCAGTATTCCTACTTTTATATCACACCTAGCCTGTGCTTCAGTTTGGTATACACGGACTATAGTCTACTACTTGCGGCTTAGTTTTTCTTATTCTGGGAGTGTGTAGTACTAGGTTAAGGTCATTGCCTACAGTTGATTCTCCAGCTTAACCATATCAACCAATTTGATTTGGCCCCAAAATTAGCCAATCATGATTAAGAATTATTTGTCGTTAAAATTTATTATAGAGTAAGTTTTTACAAAAATAGTTTTTTAAACTTACTTTGAATCCATAATTAAGTATATATAATATTGCAATATCTACATGTTTAATTATTGGTTGAAAGTAAGTTAAAAAGCCGGTTTTTTTAAAAATTGTCTTCGAATTCACCCTTACCCATTATACAACCGATCAAACAATGACAAACTAATCATTTATTGCCTGAAAATACCTAAACGCTTCAACAACTAGTGATAGTGCTTTCGTTATAGCTAAGAATAGCTAGTTTTTTTAGTATTTATTGCTTATTTATTTCATATAGAGGCTAAAAAAACATTTTTAATGAATGTTTCGTTTGTTATTTTCATATTACTAAATGGCAAAAGTTTATGTAATAGTTTATTGAAAAAAGACCCCTAAAAATCAAATCAGTAGATATGCTTTCTCCTGCTTTCTTTTTATAATTTACTGTAACTCCAATTTTCGGCTAAACTCTGCTATTCAAACCTACTTCTGCTCTTGTAGAGTTCACTCAAACCCAGAACTTACTTCACAGTATATTCTCAGTACTTTAATAACCCAGTTCCCTTTACCCAGACTTCCAATCCAGATAGCCTGGTATGTGTCACTTATTTTTCTCTGAGTTTGATGACAGCCTAGTTGGTATAGGTATTTCTTTTTTCGTCTAGTAGCAAGAGCCTCAACTCTGGTTCTCAGACTTCTAATCTAGATGGCCTGATAACTATGCACTTTTACTCTGTTCTAGGCAGGTACTCTGAATCTTGGTAGACCTTTCACCTTATCGCTAAGCCATATACGTTGCAGCTCTTTCATCTTGGTTTCTAAGTTTTTTTTTCTATTGTAGTGGTCTAGTTGGTGTGGGCATATTTTAAATACCCTATATTCTATCTAGTTCAGTTTTGCCAGGTTTAGTTTCTTGGGTTTAACCTTTACAGTAGCTCTGTCAAAGATTTGTACTACCTTTCTACTCAGAACTTGCCAAACAGGCTTCTGTATTTGCAGTTCTCTAGATTTATACGACCCAGAGGCTTATCTTGTGTTTGCACTGCTTTAATGTCAATTTGCATTCTTTCGTATTATATTATATTATACAAATATCCCAGACCTTCCAGTCTTGCTAGTGTGACTATAGTTACAGGTAACTATCCCAACTAATCAAACAAATACAGTTAGCCATAACACAAGCAGAATTTTCAAATTTTTGTCACCGGTAAGATTCGAACTCTTGACCTGCCGCTTGAGGGATGACAACTTGATAACTTTGCTATGTTGCTACACCTCTTGCCAATACTGATTATATTTATATATTATATATAATATATATATACAGTATATTTTTTTTTAGTTTTAAAGTAACTTTTTGATCACATTGTACTTTTATTGTTTTCAGATATTATTATACATATTTGGAGAGTATATTTAGTCATACCTGCGCCTTTTGAGCACCTATTTAAGTAGTCTGTCTATTACTAGGTTTTATACTATTTGCTATATCTGCAACCCAACTAGGGTTATCTATTTAAACTCTCTGTGTCTATATACTTCAAGGTCTATAATAACTAGCACTCTTTCTCTAATTCTAAGAACTAGTCTCACAGGTACTTTGTTTCATATACCGACTTAGGACTACTTTATTCTCAAGATAAACCTAACAGAGCCCACAGTATTTCCACTTTATACTATATCTAGCCTGTGCTTCAGTTTGATATATATAGATCGTGGCCTACTACTTGTAGCTCAGTTTCCTATTCTGGGAGTATATATAGTGCCAGGTTGAGGTTATTGCCTATAGTTTTTTCTCTAGCTTAAACTTTTTCCTGCTTTTTTTCTATGATTTAACTCTAGTTTGGCTAAACTCTGCTACCCAAATCTAATTCTACTCTTATAGAGTTCACTTAAACTTCAGAATTTACTTCACAGTATATCTTCAATACTTTAATAATTCTGCTTCTTTTACCCAAACTTCTAATCCAGATAGCCCAGTATATATCACTTATTTTTCTCTGATTTAACAGCAATCTAGTTGGTATTTATGATTCCTATTCGCCCAATAGCAGGGGCCCCAATCTGGTTTTCAGACTTCTAAGTAGCATAGTAGACATTTGTTTTAATTAGTCAAAAATGTAAACAAGAAAACAATATGCATGTTGTAGATCATTATATTACCTGTGATTGCCCATGATGATTAACCAATCAAATTACATAACTTTTAATATTAGAAAATAAAACTTCGCTTAAAACTTTGGTTTTTATTTATTAACTTTTTCTCATTATCATGATCTTTATTAGAGATACAATATGACCTTTAGCCTATATAATTAATGAAACTATACTATACATACTATTAATCTATTACTTAACCTAAAGTTACTAATATTTTACTCTATAACGGTACAGTCAGACCTCCCTAAATGCAACCTCTATAAATGCAATACCTCTCTAAATGCATGTTTTTGTTTTGGCTATATGAAATTATTAGTGTTAAATACATGTTCTATATTCTGCAAATGCACGTTTACTCAAAAGATTTTTTATATTATACTAACCTCCCTAAGTGCACGTAGCCAATCAGAAGTCAGTATTTAAGTTTGTTATACAAGTTTGCAGATCAAATATTAAAAGCTGCAATTTGATTGGCTTCCTCTAAATACAAACCTCTCTAAATACACATTTTAGGCTAATCTGTACATGTTATATTTATAGAGGTTTGACTGTATAATATTTAGAATACATAAAATAAATAAAATAAAAGCATTATATAAGCTTTTTATTATAATAGTATATTAAATGGTATAACAAAGTTCTTTAGATTTAGATTTTAACATATAACATTTTAAATTTTTTTTTTTTTTTTGTTGGCCATTTTCAACATTTTAATACAATAATAAATAGTAAAAATATTCGCTTTTAAGTGAAGTTTATATAAGCTAAAATAAATAAATACCTTTAATCGGCTTTGAAATTAATTTGTATTAATAATTTTGCTAGTATACATTCTGTCAGGATGTTTTAATATCGGCAATAATTTAATACAGTAACTTTATCAGCATCCAAGAATTGATTTTTTAATTTTATTATCATCTAAACCAGCTATTTTCTTAAGTCAAGATTTAATTTTTTGTTTAATCTTATAAACAAAAGGCTATTTTTTCAGATTAGAATTCATGTATTTTTTGGCCAATTCAACATAGCTTTTAGGAGTTTCAGGTACAAACTCTGGATGCAATCCTCTACTGCAAATCTTGAATGCAAATTTATGATCAAATTCATGACCATCAAAAAGTCTTTAACCGGTTGACATTTCTGCTATAATAACACCAAATTCATAAATATCTGCTGCTTGTGTAAAATAGCTTATCATCTGATAAAATTTCAGAAGCAACATAGAGTATAACTTCATAAACTTTGTTATCTGAAACATTCGCATTTCTCTTTCTAAACAATCCTAGATCTGCAATATAGAATTATGTATTTTTATTAATGTGTTGGTCTTGCAAAATTTAGTCTCCTATGTAAGCTTACTAAAATTTTTTGTCAAATATTTATGAAAACTTCCATTATCAGCATACTGAAAGACAATCAAGTAATTTTTTGTTTCTGTGTTATAGGTTATTCCATATATTGCGAGCTTA